TGGCAGCACTCTTGCAACAGTTTTGCCAATTATTCAGGATATCTCAATGCTCATAACAATAATGATATTAGGAGTACAAGGCTGTGCACTTATGTGTGCATAACGTAACTTCATATCTCTATTAAAAATTTGCATATTAATCAAATATCTGTATGCATACTAGCAAACATCTTTCACATTATGCACTAAATGTAATAAACAGAGAAATGGAGAATGCCAGAAAACAATGTAGACAGATTACTATATAATACATCAGAATATAACATCTCTTTATATTCTACTGAGCTTTAGCAATATTTATTTGGCTAAAAGAATTCAACTAATGTATATATATATATATATATACATTAGTTGAATTCTACTTTCATTACTAATTCTAATTTCATTACTTGTATATATATATACTACTTCCACTGGGGCAAAACAGGCAAACAAGAACAATAGCTGTTCTGTATGTAATAAATGTAGATGATTCAGCTAGGTAATTCGCCTACCTCAGCCTAGTTGTGGCTTGCTCCTAATTATTATCAACTTTGTAGAAGTATCTCGTACGTCTGTACAATTGTCGAGTCTTGTTACATTGGCATTTCGTAGGCCAGGGTGACCGTGGTTAGAGCCTATAACAGTTGTTGGAGGTTGAGTCATTTAGGAATTTTGGAAAAGTGAAGGAAGGACTACGCTGTCTGACTAGAATAAAAAATTTGCAAGGTCACCACCTGCCTGTTAAAATCTACAACTGTCTTTAGACGTTTAGGTTTTTTATTTCAACCTTTTTTTTTGCCTCGACGGACTTGCGGCCCCGGTTTTTGCGCGCAGCGCACCGTATGGGGAGGGGAGGGGAGGGGAGGGGAGGCGGCGGAGCAGGGAGCGGAAGAGGATGAGGAAGAGTGTGAGAGGAAGAGGCGAGAGGCCGAGAGCGAGCCACAGAGGAGAGAGATGAGAGGGGGTGGGGAGAGAGATGTATACATTATATACAGTATGCTCACACTGTACTCTCCACGTGTTTGCCTGACTTATCGTCGTTCGTTTCTTACTGACCCCAGTTAAGCCCCACGTCGTTGGCTTATATCTGCTTAACGGTTTCCACGATATGCTGGTTTTTATGGAAGCTGCACACTATGGTCGCGCCCCGCATGCCCTATGTGACGCCTCACTTTCTTAGCCGTATTCTCCATTGTGCCACATTCAGCCACACGATGTGGTGTCATTACATCAAAGCAAGACTTCTCCGAAGTTCCAGTTTTGAAAGTGTTCAGGGCCACGACATGGATGTTTGACACGTAGTACAAAAACCATTACGCAAACAAATGGGGGAGTTTGATCCTTG